ATGTTTTATTGTGAATATGAGATTGAGCTGAATAATGAATGCTGGATCAGATGCAGGTAATTACACTCGCTCAATCCATCTCTCTCTCATCATACTCTATAATACAGTGAGCTTTTAATACAGTGATACAATACGCTTTTAATGAAGCAACTCAACGTTCCTTCGTTACTAAAGTTCTAAAGTGACGTTTTTGAATTAGTAACGGATCTTGAGCTCATCTCAAAATGACAAACTGAGATTTTAATCTGTGGCGGAAGGAAGTAGTTCCACACAAAAGAGGGTTTTTAAAGACACCCCGTTGTTTTTTCTTATTTATTTACACACTTGTGCCATCGAACTGTTGTATAAATGCAATATCACACTCGTAGACATGCGATATGGCTGTATATCAGCACAGATATGATAACCTACGGCCAAACCACAGTCGTGCCGATATACAGCCATATCGCACTCCTACTCATGTGATATTGCTCGTATATATATATATATTAAACATCAAACTAATATTAAAAATTAAATTTGAATTGCGGAACCGATCAGATTTTTGCTCAAACAAGTTCCCTTTCTAGTCATGACAAGATCTTTCAAGTCAGAATTGCAGTAGATGAAAAGCTAATTACGATACCTGCGGGTCCGCTAATCGTCCCAGGTCGGGATAAAGGTAGAACTGGATCCCACGGGACGCTCCTGGCAGTGTGACCCCTCTGATCAGTAAAATCAACAGCATCACATACGGGAAGGTCGCAGTGAAGTACACCACCTGTCGCGTGTCAGGAAAACAGCGTGAGGCTAAACGCTAACATATGTTTGGATATCTATCATGATGCAATTTAATAATAGCAAATAAGATGTACACAAAATTTTATTAAAAATCATATTTCAAAAATACTTTAAACATTTATTTTAAAACAACTCTATTTAATAATAGCAAATAAGATGTACACAAAATTTACACAATATTTATTCAAAACTCTAATTAAAATATATTAAATAATAAAATATAAAAATACTAAAATAGTTATTCATAATAAAATATTTAAAAAATTAAATCTACATGATTGTCAGTAAGTTTTGGAAATGATACTTGGCACAATAACCCCCTTTGTTAATCAGCCAATCAGACACAGTTATCAATCAATCATTGCCATCAATCAGTTATTGATCAAAACAGATTAGTCTATCACTAATTACCCTTTTTCTATTTATATAAATTTGTCTTTGCATGGTAATTCAAGGTATTTCATAGAACACCCATGCAATCTGTTGAATCATTTTAATGAACTTAGCTCACGGTCTTAGCTCACGTACCTTGCCGGTGGATTTGACGCCTTTCCAAATGCAGAAATAACAGAGAACCCAGGCCAGCAACAGACAGAGGACCAGATCCCAGTGCAGCGTTCCTATCTCCTCGATCCCAGACGAGATCCGCAAAACTCTGCGTCTACAGAGAGACAGAAATGACACATCAGCTGCAGCCTCCATTGGTTAGTCAGAGAAGTTTCCGGATAATGTGGCATAAACGTGGGGTTTTATAGCCAGGTTTGAGGAGTCAGATATGTTGCTTTTCAATGTAGATTTTTTATTCGTTTTTATTAATTAGTTTTAGTTTAGTACTTAAAGTTAAACTAAAGGAAAATGAGAAATGTTGCCATGGCGACAAGTTGAAATAAAATAAGTTTACGTTTTTTGTTTTTTGTTAACAATGAAGAATGCACCTGGAAGAGGATAAAGACATCAATCATACAGTTTCTCCTGAAGGAGAAGTTTGAAACTCTAGGGGAGAAATGTGTGAGATTACTGGGGTCTGTCTCTCAGGAGAAACATCTGAGAAGCTGCAGACTTCAGCAAACGTAAGAAATGTTCCCAAAAGCCCAAACGTCTCTGTATGGACACACGGTACGGGTTGATCAAACAACAGCTGTGACCTTTAACCCTCTGAACTGGTAGTGCTTTCATCAGGCCAACTGCTGGATCAATGGGTCTATTTCACAAACACCTGGCAAACGCTAAACACATTGGGGATCTGTGTCGATCTTTATCAAATCCTCAACTTTTGCTGCACAGTTGGATCCTATAAAGCAAGGGTACAAAAAATGTTTAAATTTTTTTTTTATAAATAAATAATAAAAATAAGATTAATCTAACTCATAACTATATAAATAAATAAATCTGACTAAATTAAAATAAGATCAAAATAAATAAAATTAGATTAAATTGATACATTTCATTGAAATGATAAAAAATTGATTTAAATAAATGCATTAATAAATCTGTTTACAATTAATTGACTAATAAAAATACACAAAAAAATTAAAATTTATTTAAGTGAATGATAGATTAATAAATTGTTTAAAATAAATAAATAAATAACACACCTAACAGTACAAATGTGAGTCGAAAACATCTCTGTTGTAATGTAACCACAGAAACACAAGATCAAACTAACTAAATAAATCTGATTAAATTATTTAAATGATTTAAATAATAAATTAATACATTTTATATAAATAAGTAAATAAAAAATACATTTATTAAAATAAATGTTTTGATTAAAATAAATTAAAATTTTATTTAAATAAATAATACATTTAATAGTAACTTAGTGAGTAGAAAAAAAATTACATTTTACACATATTTATAATATAAACTTTTCACAGTGTTAATTGGGTCTTTATATATGAAAATATATAACTGCCTTTTAAATTTTAGGATGGGGGGTCCCTCGAACGAGGAAGATCATATTTGGAGTCTATAGCATCTAACAGTTTGGAAACCCCTGCTCTAAACTATTTTACATTAAATAACCTGATGACAGCCAGCTGTGGATCTAAATGAAGTCAAGCGCAGCCCTCCGCGAGGGAAAGTGTCCAGACACGTCCCTCATTCTCTCTCCGCTCACGTCTGTCAGTCAGCGGTCTGAACGAACGCTCCTTCACCCGGAGGGACGTTAACTAGCTGTGCGTTAATGAGTCCAGTCTTTGTGGTGGGACTCCAGGGCGAGGGCTGGTCTGAGGTCAGATATCTGCACTAGCACTGGACTGATGTTGACTCACTGGTTTACCTGCTAAACCTCTGTAGAGTCATGAGAGCTGACGTTACCTAACCCATCAACTGCTGAGACCAACCTTTTAATGACACTTTCTGTTTGGAAATGTACCATGATCATACATAGTTCCCCCCCCCCCCC